CCACCACCACCACCACCTGGATTACAAGGACAGCTTCAAACTGGCAGCAAATAAATTATGTTAAATCTGTTTGCCACAAGACATGCAAAAAGTTGTTGCGTAATAGACATCATTGTGTATAATGAAATTCACTCATTTTGATACTGAAATATCATTGTTACTGAAAGTCTAAATTACCCAAGTCTAAATTACCCAAGTCCCTCAAATTAATCCGTACTTAATATATTACAGTAAATATCAAGCATTTTTATCAAGCATTTTTAACAAGTTTTAAATTACCCAAGTCTAAATTACCCAAGTCCCTCAAATTAATATTTTGAGGGATTAACATTTTTAAATTACCCAAGTCTAAATTACCCAAGTCCCTCAAATTAATCCGTACTTAATATATTACAGTAAATATCAAGCATTTTTAACTTAAAAACATTTTTGTGTATATTCATGTGTATATTCAACCTTGTATTCAACCATTCTCTAACGCATGCTTTTGTTCCTTCAACAGGGGGAATGTTAGCAATCTGCGATATAAATGAGTACAGAAAGTGTGTCCAACGCTTCAAGGTACATGTATACTCAGTACTGTACGTATTCCTAACAGTAATTGACACTGCTACAATAAACATGTATGAGACGCTTGGGAAAGAAGATAATTTTAGCAACCCTGGCAACAAGATCCAGAAATGAGTAATGTTTCTCTCTTATTAAAAAAAAAAATGGTTACTTGCTAACTTACTCATGATAATTTTGTAAATACAATCAAAATTTTGAGTTCATCAGTTTATCCATATATATAGTTTTCTCCTCTATTAACAATGGTTTATCTTGATTTGTCTTTTTTATGACGATACTTTTAATATAAATTAGTTGATACGTCATTGTTTGCATGCATTTCTCTTACAGATTTTTTCTTTGTTTAGATACCGTTATTAAACTCGCTATTTAATACTCTTCACGCGCTTGGCAACCTCCTGGTCGTTGCGCCAGATAATCTTCAGCAGGTTATCAAAGAAGAACATTTGGTTAGTGTCAATTACCGTCATTGTAATACGTCAGTGTATATTAATCTCCTAACATAGGATCGCCTGTATAAAATTCCTCCGGGCTACCTTGTAATCATGTCGTAATTTAAAACAGCAGACAACTAAAGTGTAAATGTTTGTTTTTAGGCTGTTCTCGACAAGAGTGTTATCCATTCATTTGTCCAGCTCCGAGCAGATTACAAAACAGCGAAACTTGCCAGGCATTTGGAGTGAGCTTGTGAAAGAAGTTATTAATCTATAGTATATAGTTCCACATATTTTTTATTAATCATACAGTCATGTATATCTTCATGCTTACCATTCCGTATATCCAGCTGGAGATTTCAGCATAGCTCAATTTTCTCCCGCATGATCGCAGAAATGCATTGGATTTAACGACGTTTTGTAAATTGTAAAGACCATTGATAAAAATGTAAACTCTCTACAGAAAACAACAATTGCGAAATGAAATAATCCATTGTTTTTCATAGCTCTTAATTGGCTATCTAGGTGCATGCTATAGTACTAAATGGAACTTCTGACATCGTTCAGAGCACCAGCGTTTTTATACGACACTATTGTTTGGATTATTTTGTTTGGATATACAAGGTTTTCCAGTAAAATGCCGCCGACCTTCTCTAACTAAAAGCACAGCTGTTCAATTTTAAATCCATTCTGGTTGGAGTCAATTATTAATATGATCACATTAAAATATGTAACAATACGTCAAAATGATATGATTAGGCTATTCTATCAGATATTTTCAACGCTTCATGCAGAGGAGATGCTGTATTATCGTTGATATAGAAGGACAACGTAGCGATCTAAAATGCAGGATTTTAGTATTTGGGTTATTGTAATAGAATGTGCTCACTTCTACGCAGTGCCGTGAGAAAAAATGAAATGGACTGAAATCTCATGTCATTTCAACATTAAAAATCTTTTCCAATTCTTCCAAGGCAACATCTGAACTGAAGCAGTTTGTCTTTGCTTATGTAACAAGATTTCATGATATTACAAGTTACTGATGGGGAAAATTTGCTTCCGATTTGAGCAACAATAGACTGTAATGTTTATTGCACTCTTGCCTCAATGGCCTCGTTTTCATTATTTCCTCATGTTTCTTGCACAGTTGGGTTAAGGATAGGCTTGTGACTGGGCTCAAGGTCTAAGGGAAACATATTCGTGCATGAACTTGGGGATATAACTTTCATGTGCGTTTGCTATATCTATCAGTGGCTGTACGCTAAAACACACAAACATGGGAACGAGACATTGGGTTAAAGTCTATATCAAACAAGGAAAAGAGCCTCATGCCGAAATGATGCATGCATGTAGTATGATATCATGATGTTGATGGTAATCGATGATAGTGTACGTGTTGTGTTTGAAGGGTCTTGTAGATAGAAATTGTCGAGTGGAAATTTATATACATTTATTAGACCTAATAAGGAACAGCTGCGAAAAATGCAACTTTAGGTCCCTGGCAAGAATTGAACCTGCGGCCCTACGATTCCGGTGCAGCCCTCTATAAACAACTCAGCTACAGAAGCCAGTTGTCGAGATCTAACCACAAGTTCATGTAGGTAAATTATCAAGATTTTGTTGGCATCTCACTCGTTTGAATAATTGTTGAAGGGTATTGTATTTGTAGATGGAAATTATCGAGTGGAAATTTATATATTTTAATTCAGTGTTTTCCCAGGGTTCATTTGGAATACAGTTGAGTCACTGTTGCAACTTTTCGCATTTTTGGCAACATTCTAGCAATTTTTGGCATTTTAACTGGCAACTTTTTGGGATTTTAAGAGCACAATTGGTCAAGGCCTACCAAAAATATGAGTTTGACCCTCAAATGCC